AAAAAAAACAAACACAAAAAGTTTAGGTGTTGTAGATTAAAGATGCTAAAGGTAGGCTAAAATTAAGGGGAATCGACCTTTATTTTTCTTCTTGAATTGGAAGTTAGAATCGGAAGCCAACTTCAGCTTCATCCTGTGATCGTTCCTCACTCACATATGTAAACGGAGTCCCAGTGTCGTTTGGACTTATCTCCTGACTTCATCCCCCCAGTGTAATCCCAAACTGTCAGTTCCGCTCAAAGACCTCCAGATTAAAAACCTTTACGGCCAACCAGCTGGATGAAATCAAGGATCCTTCGGGTCTCTTCTTCATCTTGCCTTTCCAGAAGGTGAGCATGACTCCAAGTTCCTATGTAGAAAAACTCTGATGGTGATGATAGAGATCGACACAATGTTCTCTGTGTCTGCAGGGTTACCTGGTTAACTGGGATGTTCAGAGGAAAGTGTGGGACCACCTGTTTGGAAAAGAGATGTTCAAGGTGCTGCTGATCTTTTCTTCTTTTTTTTAACCATAAACTAAGTTGTCTGTTTCAGAAGCTGCAGCTGAACATGTTTTCTGCGAGCAGGTGGAGTTTGCAGACACGAGCATCATTATCACAGAGCCTTACTTCAACTTCACCTCCATTCAGGAGTCCATGAACGAGATCCTGTTTGAGGAATACCAGTTCCAGTCGGCTCTGCGGACGAACGGTGGGTCTCCAATAAATCGTTTCCAGACAGAAACTGGATGAGACTTTATGAGGAAATCTAAGTGTTATCCACTTAATGCAAACAGCATTGGAGAAGAGGCACCGCTCCTACCGGCATGTTACTAAATCTTCTGCAGCAAATGTTTTCTTCATAACAAAAACAGAATTTTCCTGCATTTTAGACCAAAGCGACGAGCTAACTTCGTGTTAGCATTGTCCGGCTGTCACCATCTGAAATCTCTCAATCAATCTAATGAGGCGATCTAGAATATCTACACTCACCGGCCACTTTATTAGGTACACCTGTCCAACTGCTCGTTAACACTTAATTTCTAAGCAGCCAATCACATGGCGGCAACTCAG